GGTATTATTTTCTAGGGACTGAAAAATGATTTTCTTCCATTTCTTCCTCATTTATTAACTGGGATGCTATTAATACTAAGGTTTATACTTATCTAAAATGAAAGCATACATTTCCCATTTCTATTTTGGCCATGATATGTTAGACAGCATATATTTTTTCAACCTACATATTTCATTAAAATCTATTTTACTGAGATTATTTGCTTTAATAAATAACTACTCAGATTTCTGTAAAACAACAACAACTGGAAAACACCATTCAGAAACCTTCAAAGAGTGGTGAAGGACTGGTCCACAGCACACCACTCAAGTTCAAACCTAATTTTGTCACTTGAGAGCTCTAAGACTTAGGTCAAAGCTTTTCATCTTCTTACCCTGTTTTTTTCATCTATAACATGGAGATAATAAAGCCTACATTATAGTTTTTACAAGAATTCATGATAAAGTATGCAAAGAGTATGTTTCAGTGTCTGACAAATAGTAGATACTCAGTAAGTTGTAATCACTACTAGTTTCATCATGGTTTTCCCCCACACCAAGCACAGTGCCTGGCAAACTGCAGCTGCTCAATCAGTATCAAGTGAATAACTTCAGGGATGATTGGCTGTACTTTGTCTCAAGCTGATGGTGGCTTTAATAGTTCAAGATACTGGGAATACAGAAGTGAACAAAACAAAATCTCCATTCATGTACTCACATTTAACTGGCTGTAGGAATGGAAAAGGGCATGATTTGCTCCCAGGTTCATTTATCCCAGTCAGCTATTTTGAAAATAAGTACTACTGGTAAGCCACGGTTGAGGAACATTTTACTTCTACTCTTTAAAAACTTCTCTTTTGGGGAAATTCCTGGGAAGAAAGCATCATTACTCAGATATTAAAAATATCTTACCGTATGTTCCCCACATGGGCTTCAGTATACTAAACGTACCTCAGTGCCTTGAACTATATCTACAGAGAGGTAAGAAGACATCAGTTTTCTCCAAAAGAAAGATGTACCAGCATTGCTATCACCTTGACTTGGCCTGAGGTGCTTTGAGGGTTCACTCGGTGTACTGAGTTAAACTGTGTCCGTTGGAAAACAGGCTGATGTCTGCTACAGTCTGGATGTTTGTCCTCTCCAAATCTCATACTGAAATTGGATCCCCAGTGCTGAACGGGGGTGGCTAATGGGGGATGTATGGGTAATGGGGCAGATGCCTCATGAATAGATCAATGCCCTCCAGGGGGCAAGTGAGTTTTCATTCTATTAGTTCCCACCAGAGCTGTCTGTCAAGAAAAGCCCGGCACCTCCCCTCTCACTCTCTCACAGCCTCTCTCACCATGTGACTTTTGCGCATGCCAGCTTCCCTTGTGCTTCCCACCATGAGTGGAAGCAGCCTGAGGCCCTCAACAGATGCAGATGCCAGCACCATGCTTCTTGTACAACCTGAAGAACCATGAGCCAAATATCTTTTTCTTTATAAATTAACACAAAATGGACTATGATGTCAAAGTCCTACTTCCCAGAACCTATGAATGTGACTTCATTTGGAAATAGGGTGTGTACAGATGTAATCAAGTGAAGACGAGGTCATATTGGATTAGGGTGAACCCTCAATCCAGCCACTGGTGTCGTTATAAGAAGAGACATAAAGACACAGGGGAAAACGTCACGGGAAGATGGACACAGAGACTGGAGTTACGCTGCCACAAGCCAAGGAAAGCCAAGGACTGCCAGCAACTAGGAGAAAGCCCACTGGCATGTTGACTTTGGATTTCTAGCCTCCAAGACTGTGAGAGAATACATTTCTGTTGTTTTCAGTCATCCAGTTTGCGGTAATTTGTGACAGCAGCCCTAGGAAACTAAAACATACAGTGAACTCAGACCAAAAGTATGGATCAACCAGCCTACCTACGGCTTAAACCGTTTAGTGGGAAAGACAGAGAAGGGGTGGGGGGAATCCTAGACAGGAGAACCTGAGTCAGCTTTAATTTGTCTTAGACCAGCTGGGCCCACAGCCGACTCTTCAAAGCTGCACAAGTACCAACAGGTAAGCCTGCTTTACCTGAAAATCAGGCGGGCAGAAACCACAGGACTTGTTGGCGCTGATATGTTAGGAATGAAAATGCCCTTTGTAGGGTAAGGGTAATCTTCCTCCACAGGAGGGAGAGGGGGAATATTAACACCATCCCATGTTGGGGGAGAAGTACTTTATCCTAGGTATCCACCTGTCTATCCTGTCGTATCTCAGGGAGGCTCTATGGCCTAATAAAAACATCTACACACTCTGACATGGGATGCTCCTTAGCACTCCCCTGGTTATTCAACCACGCCAAGCCTCAGCATACCACCACCTCCTCTCGGCACCGTGAGAAGAATTCAATGCAGTAAGGCAGTGGAGAACCTGGCATGTAAGAGGTGCTGGTCTGGCACCCTTTACAAAGCCGTATCTGGATACTTGTGATGGTAAACAGTCGTGGTGGCCACTCACAAACACTCCCCTTGTGTACTAGGCACTGAGCTGGATACTGTAGAGACTGAGTTATGGTCTTTGATAAATGAACTGTGTAAGGGCTTTAGGATTTAGAGATGGTGTCTTTTTTCTTTCTTAAAATTTCATTTACATGATGGTAGTGTTTTATAATAAAATGTCTTAAAATTCTGATCTAATATTTTTAAAAAGAAGTGGGAAAAGCTGTCACATATTTATTAAAAATGTATTTTTTACAACATGGCTCAATTGTTCAGCAAGGCACAGCTGAATCTTGCCAAAGCACTAAGAGAGCCAGTGTCCACCCTCAAATTTCCCCTCACCCACACTGCACTCCAACACTGTCAGTAGCACATGATTTAGCACTTAATTGGTGGCTAATTATTGCAGGTGTGCTAGTTTTATTTTCCTAACTTAACTCCCTCAGGGCAAAAATTACCTCCTTTCACACCATCTATTAGCACCTACTCAGAAGTCCTGCATGACCAAGGATTAGCTGGCCTTACAGTCAGGACTATGCAACAGACTTCTCTCTACCTTTCTGGAGAACGAGCCATAACAAGCTGCTTAGTGATTAAGTTAGAGAAAGAAACGAAGCAGAAGAGACTATGACTAAGAGCTGTGCTCACATTTGGGGTCTGCTAAATAATTTCCCATGGTCCACTCTGAAATGGCACCACCAAAACCATGGGGCAAAACATGCAGGTGGTACTCAGCGATCCAGCTATGGGTCAAAAGCACATGAAAAACCGGTGTATATGTGTGCAGGCTTGTGTGTGCACGTGCAGCGGCATGTGTACATACCTCAAGGCTAAAGCAATTCAAGCTTTTCTCTTCCTGAGATAAAAAACCACCCTTTCTCAGTGACTGCTAGACTGTATTATTTCTTTATGACTGCCACAGATGCTTTGGGTACTTGCTGGAAGCAAGAAAGAGACTTTAGCCCCATGTGTCTTTGGAAACCATGGATAGAAGAATTATGCACCAGACACTGTGCTAACTTCTTTACATTTGTTCTTTTAATTATTCCACTCAGAGGTTCTAGGGGGTTGGACCAACCCCATTTCACTGGCTGGAAAACTGCCTAGAAAAGGCAGAGCCAGGACTGGATCTGATGTGTCAGTGACTCCAGCACAGACTTCTGCATGACCACAGTTCAATACTATTGGGAGGGAGGGGACAGAGCCACGAACCAGTATCAGGCAAAGTGTTGTTAGACCCTAGACATTTTCCTCCCATACCCTCATCCGCTGCCCACCAATAGAAACAATGAACTTTCACTGGAGACCCTCAAATCGCTTCACAAAGAAGGCCTCTAGGCCTAAATCCAGCCATGGATAGAGGGGGGAAAAGAGAGACCCATACTGAAGCCGTTGGACTTGGGTTAAAAGCTGCATTGTCCCTCCTCTCCATGCAGAGCAGCTAATTGAGGTTAGAGCCATAGAAACCAAACAAAAGGCTCTGAGGGGCCCACACATCCTAGCCTAACTGCTGCCAACCACTGTGGGAAGGGCCAGAGGAAGCCCTGCTCGCCCTCATTCCTCAACAGTTTAATGAAGATTTGGTCTGTCATCTTCCCAGGGAACAAACTCCTGCGTGACTGTCTGAGAGAAACTGATTTTTATTCTCAAACAAAACAGTGGATCCTCCTTTAAAGCCAGAAGTCGGCAATAAAATGGTCCATAAACATATTTATGGGGTTATAACCCCCTCAGACTAGGCACTTGGATTTCTCTCCCAGCCCCTGGGCCTGCCAAAACCAAATTCCTGGAGAAGTTCCTGGGCATCATGGCTGGGGAGCGGTGGGAAGGTCTGCAGAGGCTGGGGGCCTCCCTGAGCCGCTGCCACAGATGGGCACTTTTCGGGCCAGATCGTCCATGGTCTCTGAAAGTTATGAGGCTATTCATGCAACACCATCTATCAGCAAATGAGGATATCCAGCTTGCTTTGTACGTTTGGGATCATTCTGAAAGAACTCACACTCGCATTTCAAAATCTCTAAGATTTTATCACATAAATGACACACAAAAAAGCAAAATTTTTTATGCATCATAAAGTAAGGATTACCTTTAAGCCGGCAAAGAAAAACCCAACCATTTTCTTTTTAGACTTATTTTACTTCTACTCTTTAAAAACCTCTCTTTTGGGGAAATTCCTGGGAAGAAGGCATCATTACTCAGATATTAAAAAATATCTTACTGTATGTTCCCCACATGGGCTTGAGTATACTAAACCTACCTCAGTGCCTTGAACTTACCGTCATCTACAACTTTTTGCCATTTCCGTAGAATTAAATTGACAAGCAGACTTTGTGCAAATGAGGACTTTAGCACTTTTCAAACAGGGAATAAGTTGTCATATGAAAAAAAGATTAGGTTTGTTTTTTATGGATTCAAGACATTGTCATAATAACTATAATAATTACAATAATAATAATAATAATAAATTATTGGAAAAGCTGACATCTATCCATTAAGCATATTTATTATATCAGTCATTATTTTAAGAGCTTTTTTCTTCCACCTGAAAGTTTTTAGTTTATTAATCTTCCTGTGAAAAATCCACAATGGCCACAGATAACATCATTGCAATGCCTTTACCCCTTCAGCTGTGATCCAATCTCCAGCTCACTGCTAGACACTTCATTTCTTTTTGGCGACACCAACATTGGCCTTTGCAGTCCCCCTGACTTTCCTCTTTCTGTTCTTGTGTTCCTCTCATTGCTTTCTTGAGGTCTTTTTCTTCTCATACAGACCATGTCTTGCAAGTCCATGTTTGGATTCATGTTTCTTTGCACAATCCAAGAAATCATAAATCATGCCAAAGAAAGTTGTCTTGCCACCACCAAAATGAGTTCTGAATCCAGGTACAAAGATGACATCCAGTGTGGTCTTGTACATTTTGGCTAGTTTTTCCCGAATTTCTGTCTTAGGTACGGTACTGTTGCCTTCCCAGGGTGAAGGACATCAATGACCATTTGTTTCCTCTGAAGTCATCAGTTGGTCACGAACTTTCTAGTTCAGATAGTTACCATGTCATTCATGATGGCAGTCTATCCTCAGACAGTCAGGGAGTCTATTCTAAGAGCTTTAAATACATTTTTTTTTCATTCAATCTTTTCAACAACCCTATGAAATCATTACTCTTACGGCTCTAATTTTGCTGATGAAGAAAACAAAGCTCAGAAAAGTTAAGTGTTTTGTACTGACTCAAACGGCTAGTAAGTAGGGAAGCCAGTATTCCGATCAGGCAGTTTGTTGCCACAGAACTAGTTGTTGACTGTAACATTGCATGAACATGGAATGAGCTTCCTCTCTAGAGAGCAAGTCCTTCAAGATGAGAGGCAGCCACTATGGTACAAGAACTTGAGCTTCACTTGGGATATTGGCAAGTTACCCCATCATGTCCCTGGTGACGCCAAGTTCATATTCCATTATATTAAGCTACTTGGTATCAACATGATTTTCTAGTTTTGAATAGTTCTATAGTTATATTTTTCATTTGTGTCAGGAAGTTAGTGTGCCATTTAAGAAGCAGAAGGGAGATCAGCTTGTCATGGCAGGTGGCATTCAGATTTCTAAGGAAAACATTTAGATTTGTACACCTGTTCGGAAACCACCTCTATTTCTTCTTAGAGGCAGGTGGTTAAATACATGCCCTTACCAAGGTTTCTGCTCTAAAGCCAAGAGGCTCATCCCTGAGGCAGACGCTACACAGCACCTGCAGCTTGCCCTACTCTTAAGCAAACCCAATGAGAATGGATGTCAGGTTCAAGCATGGCAATAAGGCCAGAAGCGATTCTGATGCTGAATGGCCAGGTAAGATTCCATTAAACCAGCCTTCTCTAAGTCACTGGGCCACCTCCAGGGCACTGGTAATTGGCCAGATCTAATACCCACCTCCTCTCTGCCAGAAGTGAGGTGCAAGAAGCACCTATAAAGAAGTGAAATATTAGATTTGTGGAAAGACTGTTCATTTTGTCTCCCTCAACTACTTTTTCCCTTTGCTTCATTTACTATTAGGATACAATTCAAGTTCCATCACATACAATGGAGCTTACTTACAACACAAAGGAAGTGGGTAATGTATTTGGTTCATCATCCAGCCTTGAATCATTAAGAGGAAAGCTTGACCAATCTTCTAGAACCTCTAAAACAGTGACAGCAAACCCCTTTTATTATTCTGAGGGCAAAGAACTAGAATTCTAGGCCTCACGCAAGCTCTTCATATCTTTCTCTCTTTCTACTTCCAGTTCCTCTTAGCCAACTGTCTCCAAAATGCCCTTTCTGGGCACGCAGAAAGAAAGAGGGACATGTCCTTTTGTAGGGTATGAAGCACATTGGCTGTTGTTACTTCTCCAAGTGAAGCTGAGCAGAAAACTACTGGCAAGTCTAAGGCAGAAATGGGGCAGAAAGAAGACTGGAAAACAGCAAGACAAGGAAAGAGAAATGTCCTATCATAGTCTGGGGTGCCATAACAGGGAGCTGGCTGCTCTTTGGACCAATGACTTGCTACCAATTTTATTTATTTAGCGAGAGTCTCATCACCCAGGCTGGAGTGCAGTGGTGTGATTTCGGCTCACTACAACCTGCATCTCCCACAAGCAATCCTCCCACCTCAGCCTCCCAAGAAGACTACAGCCACACACCACCACGCCTGGCTAATTTTTTGATGTTCTTGTTGTTATTATTGTTGTTTTTTGGGTAGAGACAGGGTTTTGCCGCATTGCCCAGGCTGGTCTCAAACTCCTGGGCTCAAGTGATCTGCCTGCATCAGCCTCCCAAAATGCTGGAATCACAGGCGTGAACCACCACACCTGGCCTACCAATTTTAAACATAAGAGTTGGCACTAAAAACGGTGACCCATTCTTTATATAAAGACTGGCCAGTGACAGTCTCAAAGACACTATTCGAGAATTAACTCTGTGGTAATGGCAAGAAAAGAAAAAAAATGAGAAAGAACTAGAAGAAAGAAGAAAAGGCAGAGAGAAGGAGTCTCAATGTATCTTAATCATGACCCTTTCAAAAACAACCAAGTATATCCTTCCCTACAGCAAACACTTCCTGTCATTTCTATCTAATGGAATGTGCAGGGATGGTCTGAAGAGATGCATTCAACAATAAAGGAAGCTGCCGGGTAAGAATATCCAGGGTATCACCTCTCAAGAGTCATCGTTTTTCTTTTGGTTCTGGGGACACAGCTGGACTGTCAGATACGCTGCCACAGGAAAAGGCATGCACCTACAAGGGAGACAGAGGAAAGGGCTGAAGGGAGAGACAAAGACGGAAGCTGAGAGAAGACCCAGATTTCAGAGTATCTCTATGGGTTCTATAAGTTTAATAAATAATATTCTTGGATTTACTATGGAGTCAGTCCTGCCAAAACCTACACTTGGACTTGAAACCTAATTGAAGAAAAGTCATTCAAAAATACCAAAATGAGTGAAAGCACGACCAAAAAAA